ACAATTTGCAGCTAGAATTAAACATGACATGGAAACCACCAGATATGAATGTTCCATACTAAAGAATAGTTTTCCACTTGATAAACCTTCTTCATGCTAGATTCGATAAGCTTCACTTGTGTTTATCACATGTGAGAAATACTCGAGTGGAAGTACACCTAATCCTTTATGAATATTTCAAATGAACACATAGATAGTTAATATGGTTTGAACAATCAGTACCGTAAGAGAATTCTTATTAACTGATATGAATACATCATGACTACGTCCAGTCGAATATTCTATACATGATAACAAGCTGTAGTGAAATGTGATACGACGACAACGATTTTCCTAATAACAGTTGGAAATAGCTTAACTTGTAAACGAATGTTACTAATCATGAATAAATGAACACTTAGGGTACAGCTGACTCCGGTAAACCGAACACAACAGGATCATGTAGGTCAAATTCACCTATTTGATATTAATAATCAAACGGACTTCGTAAACAATAATTAGTCCTGGAAGTCTATGACCCTTGGCTCATCATTGTTCATAGTTCACTGAACACAAATATCATTATCAATATTATGTGACTGTTATGATGATTGTTCTTGTCGAAAGTTGTAAGACATACAAAATGTGCATTAATTCAGTGTGCAGATTGAACTGTTTACATCACTGTCAATATCTTTCACAATGTGATCTTTTCATATTATTCCAATCTCCACAGTTGAACTCAATTTATTCTAGACACTTCATTGTCGAGTAGTATGTAAAGTTGTTTCGTTCCAATGATTAATAATAACAGTATAGCAGATCAAAATCAGTCAATCCATGTAATTCGTGTACATTCGCTGTGATATTATTTCTTTAATCATTAAAGTATTTACAGTAAACTCGCTTGATATTGTTTACTTGAATCTTCCCACTGATGTTTAGGACTGCGATCGTTCAATCTCTCATTGACATATGTGCAAACTGTCAGTATTGCCTTGATGTTATGTTCAGTAACAAGCATCACAATAAACAAACAAGGGTGGTTGCTAACATTGGATTTTGGTTGTTCCCACTTGTGTGTTCTCGTTCACTACATTACTAATGTGAAATGTATATTATCGTGAAAGTAACAAGATGTGTGGTAAAACAGTTACTCTTTCAAATCTTAAACTTTGTTGACCAGAAGTAACGAACTATTTGTTCCTTGAGATCTATGTTTAGGTAATAGCACAGCATTCTTGATAATAAGGAGGTATAATGATTGTTGTGTTCCTTCTAAATCCGCAGGGCGAAAACATTAGCTAATGGGAGTAATGGGAGAAGTAATAGTATAGTAAAATCTAGAATAATCTCCCTCATTACCTACAAATTCAAGGTAAACATGGGGAATTCCTTTCAACAATAGGCCGTATGGTTTTATTATTGTGTATTTAAATAATAACTGATAGGAAAACATATTGTCATGTTAAAAGAAAGAATTATTCTATATGTCCGATAAGTAATGTATAAATGTCACAAGGTTTTAATGGTATTCCCGTAACTCATTTTTGTATACCGAGTTATAGTATTTGAATATCTCAAGTAGTTTTGCCATGAGAAACCTAAGAGCACTGGACGACCGTTTCGTCTTAGTGTGAGACTCCTCAGCACTGTGTATTCACGACCCCGCATCGCGACATTCGAACGCAGGATCTATCGGTCTCGCGTGCGAACGGCTAACCTCCAGACATATGGGACCGATAGGTAACACACAGCTGAGGAAGCCCATACTACGACGAAACGGCCGTTCAGTTCCTCTGGGTTTTCAATGGTTGAATTGACTCATGATCTCAACTGATAGAAATTGTTTTTAAAATAAATGTACAACTCTATATGATGAGTAAGCGTTTAGTTGTATTGATGACTAGTACGTGTTGAAACATCTCATATATTGTATATTTAACATTAACGGATTGTATCAAGTTAAAAAGTATGCATAATGAAGATCTTTGAGGCCCAATAAAAAAGTGGTGAAAATAAGGAAGAAGGATTTTTGTGTTATAAGAATAATCTCACGATTTGGTCTAGATAAACATGTTGGTTGCTACGTACCTATCTGGCCAGTGTATTTTTCTTCCTGATCCTGTTGTACTTTCTGTTGCTGTTGAACTTCGATGTGAAGTATTGTTTGTTGCAGGCAGTTTATGTGGTGCTTGCTTTGTTGCGGATTTAGACGATTTTATCGCTGTCTGCTTTTCGGTGTGCTCTGAAAATGCTTGTTTTACTCTGTCGATGCTAACTGTGTCACGCTTACCTGCTCTTTCTACTGTAATTCTTTTACTGTCTTTTTGGATGATTTTAAAAAGGCCGTCGTAAGGAGTCTGTAACGGTTGTCGTAGTCTGTCATTTCCGAAGAATACATGTGAGCATTTGTTGAATTCATTGGGTAAAAATTACCTCACCTTTTAGATTCATGGTTCGACGGACATGATGGATTCCATCTGCTACTTAAATTGTTGCACGTAGTTGGTTATATATGCTGAAATATCTTTTGGACGGTCAAGGAATTCACCAGGAAAACAGAAAATTCTTCCATAAGCCAACTCAGCAATACAACAACAGATATCTTGTTTGATAGTTGAGTGAATGCCTAAGGGTATCAAAGGAAGCTTGACATCCTACTTGTCATCTCCCCTGCGGCTGTCAAAGAGGTTTTCAACTGTCGGTGAAACCTTTCTATCATTCCGTTAGCAGTCGGATGATCCTCTTTGTACCTAAAGTATCTGTAACTTGCTGAAATAGTTTGCTTTCAAACTGTGCTCCACAATCAATCGTGATTATTGTTGAGACACCGAAATTTGTAATCCAGTGTTTTACTAATTTCTTCGCCACCGTTAATGCCGACGTTATTTTAACGGAATGGCTATGGGCCATCTCGTGAATCTGTCTATACATGTTAATATATGCGTGTAACCATCGGAAATAGGTAACGGTCCAACGATATCGATGTGAATATGATCGAACGTAGCGCTGGCAACGGGAAAAATGCCTGTAGGAGATATGTAGTGGCATTGGACAATAGCTACACAATCCACAAAGCTGTGAACACGAGACTACTCAGAAAATAGATATTCAATATTTAACGCGGAGAAATACCTAACAATGGAGAAGGCGCGAACAATGAGTTGAATGAATTGGAGTTGACCGGATGTCATGTCTCGACCATGCTGGCGTGGTCCCTCTGAATGTTACCTTATATCTTCTATTCATATTAAATATATTGTTCTTTCTCTAGCCTAACCTTGTTCTACATCATGTATTGGTAATTGATACGATACAGTGAGTTGGTGTAGTCGATGGTGTGACTTCCACGTAAGATCTTATGGATTAGGCAGTTATATCATGACAAATCTACGAATTTAGGATTAGGTCTATTATTAGAGCAGTACTAATATCATAGTAGACCATAGTTCTACAGATATGACGTGCCTGTGTACTTTCAACTTCTGGTATTGGATGCATTATCGTAACCATTTTCGTACATCTGTTGAGATATCACAGGTTAAGGTGTCCTTGTTGTTTATGTGTGTGTTTTGGAACAATATTTTCATCCCCTTGGACTGCAAAACGTTTTCTATCTGCATGTCGAGCTTTTGATGTTTTGCCATATGTTCATTGCTTATATCAGGAAACTGATTAAGTAAATTGGCATATTTGTCATTCTCGCAATGAGGTTCGTTCATTTTTATCAAAGTGTATGAATTAAGCTTGAGTTTAGATTTGATCATAAGTCGTTTTATAAGTAGCAATAATGGTGGTTTCATTCCATCGTACAGAATAATCGCAAAATATAACTCTCAGCACAAATGATTCTAACTAGTTTCTTTTACAAACACGAGAGAGGTTCTCATAGATTCTCATGTATTGGTACCTTGTCCTACTACAAGATGTACAAGATGAAATATATGGTAAATATTTGGTACAACATCACTTGTCAACAGTTTGCAAGATATTCAATGTCTATCCACAATCATGTTTGTAATGATCTCAAAAGATTCATCACACATCCTACTCACTGCCTTCAGCAGTCTCCACAATATGGCAAAATCTTTCCTAAAAATTATCGGAGAGAATAATCGAGAACAGTAATGAATGATAGGTAATACGCAAGAATCAAGATGTCGTCAACATAAATGTCAAGCCGTGCGAAAAGCATGTAGCCTCTCTGTATAAACGTTGAATACAAAGCTTTCCTTGATAACAATACCGTATGAGAAAACGAAGAGAGATAAGAGGTAAGCATTACACCACAATAAATTACCTTTGACATTGTTTTCATTACGGAATCTCTCATAGTACAAACTTCATGGTATTACATTAAGGTGTTTGAGTGCAGTTCGTGTTTCAGGCTAAAGTTAGCAACTTGACATTTGGAAGGATTACGTATGAGACTATTAACAACAGACCATCGTTAATTGAAATGCAAAAACTCATTCATTTTAAGACGGTATGAGTAGGTAGAAATCCTCATTCCTAATACACACATCAGGATCATCAGTCTACTTAACAAAGTGTTTCCCATAGAAGATGAGAGGGCAATCAATCTTCGATTGTATGAAATTCACTTTTTAACCAAAAATATATCATAGTAAAGGAGATAGCTTAACGTAAGGAACAACATACTTCTATTGAGAATTATTTATTTTGATGAATGCATTGTTCATTGTTAATTATCTTCACTGGACTGAGTGCAATAACGTTAATGACTTTAAGTCACTGTATGCAGTGAACAGCTAACATGAATCTGATGAGATCAATTTTCATCGGCTTTCAGTCTTTGTCATTAATCTCGTCAAGATGATACAGCAAACTAGTCAGATGGAATTCTAATCCTGTCCATGAATCCATACTTGATGAAATACAATGAATGAAGATATAAATAGGCATGTGAATGAATATTTAAGATGTTACGCAATCCATGAAATTGATTATCTCGATTAGTGTATCATTGTGAAGTCTTACTTATTTCAGTTAAAGTTGGAATTGTTGATTGTGGAAGGTGAATTGTTCACAAATAACAATTGCAGTTAGTTAAACGATGATTAAATTGGCATTTGATGATGTGTTGGCGGTAACCAATCAGAACAATTCTACTTGCATGTAAGACATTTATCATTCCATTTGACAGATTCAGCTTCCAAAGGCTTCAAAGTCCAATTGTTCTCAGTGGTCTCATTTTAACGTAAGTAATACATGTTTTAAATACACTCATTCCCCAGAAACCCTAACGACCATTTTCCATGTATTACCATGACGTATTATTCAATGAACTGATTAATACACTTTGATGAGAAATTTGATCCATGTTTGACAAGAATATTATGACTGAGGAAGAGAAATAAAGTTTATTTCTTTCCCGGTGGAAATCATCGTCACTTTGTGTTACATCACATCACAATAAATGATCATACTGAAATTTGTTTATTTATTTATTTCAGTTCAAATATTAATACAAAGAGTCAGAGAATACATATGCGCCACACAAATCAATTGATTTGTGTGTGGGCTGTGATATTGCCCGGGTGATCAGATCGAAGCTGATGGTTTTGTTAGGGGGCCACACCTGGAGTCACATGGCGACGTCAGCAGATACAATCCCATGGTAGCCGATGACCAACAATTGGTTCATATGCCATTTGTTTCCTTAGGATTCTGGAGCCCATGTACATCACTGATTTGGAATCAGGGTTTGCCAACTTGCCTAAATGCATTCCACATATGCACTAATCCGGTCAAAGAGCACGACATTCGCTTTTTATCCTCTCAATTTCGTAAACAACATCACCTCCACAAGAAGACAGTGAGCACATCTTCCATGGTAGTGACTGTATATGCGTGTCCATGTGAGAGCATTTCGAGAGGCAGAGCTAATTCTCCCCACCATCGGCCGTACCAGGGCATTTGGGCGATGAAATGAAATATTCAAGAGATCATTCCTTCTCCACTTATCGGTTATTTTGACAAGTTTTACAAACTCTGGAAAATGTTGAACTGAGTAGTAGGTGAGGAACTTGTTCAACCATTTTATGCATACATATTGTGTAGAATATTTGATGCATATTACTACGCTCTATTGTATCTGTGAGTTTAGAATGTTGTACACATATTTTATTTTATTTTTCAGATTTATAGGTTTACTTATTGGATTAGCAATCATATTGATTAAGAAACTACATTCTACATCCATAATGAACACTGTCTTCATGGTTATAACGGTCAGTTGAATATGGTTTGAATAGTACATTCATGATAGTTTCATCCAACTATCGATTGAATTTCGTTTAGTGTTGTTTGTTGAATAATACATCAATGTTGTGATGTTCGTTTGATAACGGTTATCAGGATCAAATGATCTTTGAAGGTTGACTTGAATAGATGAGTTTGATCTTTGTAATTTATTTTAAGATGACGTGATGTGTAGAGACCCAGTTTCTATAGTTTCACTGATTCCATAACAATGTTGACGTATATTTATGATTCGGTTGGATCATGAGCTATTACTTAACTGATAACTGGCGAAAATAATATAACATTAAAAGGTATCTGTCTGTTCATGTTATGGACAATTGAGAAATAAGTAGACATGGTTACACATAATATCGGTACATTCTACTCTCATCTACGTTTGTTGTTATAACAATTTGCATGATGTGAAGTGAGTTGTAAACACCGAACAACTAAACAAATTGAATTTGTGTCATTTCCATTTGTATAATCATACACACACACTTTGTCTGTCACTGAACTTGTGTTCTATGATACACAAGTCATCATTAGATGCTTCCACTGGCAGACATTACTAACCATCGTAGTTTTTGGTTTACCCAAATTGGTAAAATTCACACCGTTTAGGTGAAAAAGAAACCTCATATAAAATGGTCATGTGTAATGGATGAGCGAATTAGCTTTGAAGATATTTCAAGTTTGTCATTATGATAGACATGGATAGAGATTCCTTGTTATGTGCTTGTATCCATAACTATTCATTGTTAAGCATTTCAATCAAATGCAGGAGAGTGGAGATTACTCTTTCATTATTTGTCTAATAGTTGACCGATTCAACATTAAAACTAATGGTAATCAATTTGATGATACTACTTTTTCCCTATTCAGTTGATAATTATGATTATTGGTGTTGGATTACTGAATTCACGAATACAATGGTATGAAATAATTATTTCTGTAATTGTGGATACCACGTTGGCCAGCTTAGCGATTTTATTGGGTGTAAAGCTACAAGTTGAAGAAAGAAAATTGGAGATAATCTTGTTCTCGATATGTTGTGTGTTTGGGGGAATCGGAATCATATTATTGATTATAGGGGCGGCACTTTCCAATGTAATTTTGTCTAATCATAGATTTGCACAAACTAGTAGTAATTAGTGATTATTATTGATTCGTTAATGGTTTACTCGAATAGCAACAGTTTTCCTTAAAAAATACGCTAATCGTGAATACCGGTGAAAAGTTTCAGTTACAACAAAAAGCTGCCAATCAGAAGCAGCGAACTGTAGCGGCATCGGACAATAGCCACACAATCCACCAGGTTGTATGTAGATGACTCTCCCGGTCTCCCATATTGTACGAGCATTCCATGTACCTAAGTTAATGGTTGCTTTAATTGTCACAAAGGAACATCAGTCTCGTGACTTCCGAGTAAACTCGGCTTTCACCATGAGGCGTCATAACTGTTCTAAATGAAGAGCAGAGTTTAAATTGTTTAAATTATTTCTTTTCTGGTTAGCGTTTTTTAGCGAGTTAGTTTTCTACGGGATTGGGTCGCTAACCCATACTCAACCCTCCTACTTTATATGGGTTTTGGACTGTCAGTTGCCGCATGAGGGCTCCAGGCGGAGTTTTCTCATCAAATATAAATCGCAAAATGAAACCAGTTCATTCTTGGAATCACTAACTTCAATGTTTCATGATACAGTCGTTGACGAAACTAATTCGTTGTTCAGACAACTGTCAAGCATGAGACAGGATGGGTAAATGATGTCGAAATTCAGGATAACAGACTCACTGAACTCTTACATGAAGTCAGTCGGTCAGTCAGTCAGTCAGCTACATGTTAGTTTAAAATCGGTAGAGTTAATTAGTAGAGTAATACTGTTTCTTCACTGATATTGATATAGATACATGATGAATTGAAGTTAATAGTTTTGTTTCCTTTATTCCAGTATGTTGTACTACGTGTAGCCTCGATTTGTTGGTGCTGTGCAATGTTAATTGTAAGTTCTGAATAAATAATAAAATGTAAATACAGATAATCGTCCTTTGATTATTATGCATTCCAAGACGTGGTTCTGTAGAAATGAGGACTTTAAAGCATTAGTGCTTTCCAACCAGAGCATTCAACAAGAATTCATCATGAAGCACTTTGAAGGGTGGCTGAAAGCGAGACATTGACTGGTGAAGTATTTATCGTTTAACTCATTTCTTTAAATGAATGGCTCACTAATTGATACATCAAAATACTAGATCCTTACTGTTCATTTGTTATGTATGAATGTTTAGAAATTACCAAGTTGTTAACCCTATATCTGTAAATGCCTATTATTTCACCGATATATTTGTTGATATGAACACATCAATAATGAAGTAATCAATTGAAGCTAGACCACCATGGAAAATGTGAGAGCACTGGAAGGCCGTTCTGTCCTATTTTGGGACTCCTCAGTGGCAGTGCGCATCAACGATTCCACCTCGCGAGATTCGAACACAAAACCTATCGATCTCGCGTGCGAACTATTATAATACTACTATAATATCCACAATTTCTGTACTTAACATGTATATGTTTTCCAGTTGCTTTTGCCATATATTTGTAAGTGTCCCTAGGCTAAATGCAGTAACTTCTTATGGAATGTTTATAACGCGTCATATTCCTGCTTGAAGTTTCACGAGCAGTCTTAACTTGGAATTTATTTATCTGATTATGTTCATTATTTTTAAATTGTCATATACGTCAACAACCTGCATGTTAACCTGGCCCATACATACGTCACACTATATCTCCATGTCTTCTAAATTTAGAAATCATCTGAATCGCCTTTAACATTTATCAATAAACCCATCATAGTCGTTGTCGCTAATCGTATTTGGGTTTATGGATTGATTTATCATATTAGCAGCCTAAAATGCGAACATAGTTTAGATAATAAGATTAAAAATTTAGATACTATCAACTGCACTAGTAAAATAACTAAATCCCTAGGTGGCTGTTGGCTAAACAAACGTTTAAAATCAAAACTCCGTAGCCTACTAGAATTAACACTAAACGAATCTTTCTGAAATAAAATTTGTAATTAAATTAGGCGTCTCGGATTCTTTAACGTTATAAATTTCTGATAATTTCGAATCACCTAAAGCAACAATACCTATTTTTCCACTGACTAATCCTCATTCAACACTATAACTATTTAAACATAATAGTTTCAGGATATCGTCATAAAGCATTGTCATGACTTGACAATCACGTAATATGATTGATAAAATTAATGAAACTATTAACAAAATCGGTCAGCAAATCGACTTACAATTATCACTAGTGTTGTTTTTCTTTTATCTTCATTCACTACAGATGATTACAATATGTTTTTCTATCGGTTGCTTATTCAGTAAATATCTCAAAACCTTGTCAGTCTAATTGGAGGTTTAGAGACACAATCATGCATGCAAATAACCAGTATAAGCAGTCGAGCAAATCTCCTGCAAACTGAAAACATCAATGTCGAATTTACCCCAACACTGACTAAGGTTCAAGCCATTATCATAGACATGAGTTGTGAGTGTACTCCCCTTGGTTACAACTTATGTTCTCCCTGATAATCACATGAGCATCACTCACTATTAATCATCTTGTAAAAACTTATTTTGCTAAATATATCTTGCAGCACCACATCACTTCGTAATATGACCCATAGGCCTAACTGATTTTAATAACCTATAACCACTATATCTCAATTAAATCGTATTCCGCCTTATGATAAACTGCATACTTGCAAATAACTTGTATGCCCAATCAGCCAGCAAGTATAAATATAAATAGATAGTCTGCCGCAGATCAGAACATTGAGTCTAGAGCATGTCTCTTACGAACACACTTATGTTTAACGATTTTTCCTAGCTATCTGTCCAAAATTCATATAATCATCACTCACGTATTTAAATTTTGTTTTGATAACCATTCATGTGTATTAGTAGTATTACTAAATTCTATCACGGTCAAGTAAAAATGAGGTTGAGAAAATCTCCCCGTAACTAAATAACCGTATCAAACTAACTGGAACACTAGTTGGAATTCTTCTCCACGGTATACTTTTGTTCCTTCAGTTAGCCTACTAATACAGATGCATTTGGAATTCAACTCATATGGACAACTTACCGGCATAATCGTTACTTGATTTCATAATTTAAATCAAAACTAATACTAATATTGATATATTCATAACATTCATTACTTTAATATTTCTAAACACAAAATACTTACTACCTATACGTTAAGTTATTAACCAACGGCTATTAGCACGCATCGTTGTATTATTATTATTGTTATGCCATTCTTTATAGTTCAAACAATCTTCACCCAAATTCTCATTTCAAGCGTTTTAAGCATGAAGGCAGATATTTTAAAATTATTACATGTATTTCCCGACCAGATGCTGCCGCTTTCTTTTTGATTTATCTTTCAGCTTACCAATACCCGGAGGATTCTTATTACCCTTGGTAACCTCCGGCGCGCGACGATCCCATCCAATTTGGTATCGAACCAACATCACGTTGATTCTGGTGGGAGAGTAGTGTAGTGGCATTGAACAATAGCCACACAATCCACAAAGCTGTGAACACGAGACTACTCAGAAAATAGATATTCAATATTTAACTCGGGAAATACCTAACAATGGAGAAGGCGCGAACAATGAGTTGAATGAATTGGAGTTGATCGGATGTCATGTTATTATTTTGATTGTCTTGATGAATATATTCTGATATCTTCTCAGCATGCACCTTTCCAAGTAATCTTATAGCTTCTATTCATATTAAATATATTGTTCTTTCTCTAGCCTAACCTTGTTCTACATCATGTATTGGTAATTGATACGATACAGTGAGTTGGTGTAGTCGATGGTGTGACTTCCACGTAAGATCTTATGGATTAGGCAGTTATATCATGACAAATCTACGAATTTAGGATTAGGTCTATTATTAGAGC